GAGGCCGTTATTCGAAGTGGAGTAACTCAGGAATGGAAAACCAAACATCATATGTTCTCGCTCATAAGTGGGAGCCAAGCTATGAGGGTAAGAGGTAAAAGATACAATGGACTTCAGAGATTTGGGGGAAAGGGGGCGAAGGGGGTGAGGGTTAAAAGACTACACATTAGGTACAGTGCATGCTGCTTGTGCGATGGGTGCACCAAAATCTCACTAATCACCACTAAAGAACTTACCATGTAACCAAACACCACCTGTTCCCCAAAGACCTATGGAAATAAATAAAAAAATTAAAATGCTACAAATGTAAAAAAAAAAATTAGCATGGTGGCACATGCCTGTAGTCCCAGCTACTCCAGAGGCTGGGGTTGGAGCCTTGAGCCTGGGAGGCAGAGGCTGCAGTGAGCTGTGATCACGCCACTGCACTCCAGCTTGGGTGACAGAGCGAGACCTTGACTCACAAAAAAAAGGTGAATAAAATGTGTGGTATACCAGATGGTGACACGTGTTAAAGAGAAAAATAAAGCAGGAGAATGTGGAGGGTGTGGTGATGAGCGCCCTGTGGTCCCAGCCACTTGGGAGGCTGAGGAGTGTAAAAAATATCTTTGTATTTCTCTTCAGTAAATACGTAGAAGTGAGATTCCTGGGTCCAGTCATAAGCACGTGCTTAACAAATGTTAAACCGAAGAAAGAACCTGTCAAATGGTTTGCCATTTCCTAACGGGTGGCCAAGAAAGCCCTCGATGACATGATGAATTTTGATTAAGGATCGGAAGGAGGTGAGTGAGCCTTGGCATGTCAGAGGAGAAAACGCAGTGATCTTTTTGTAATTCTCAAGCTTCTGACTGGCTACACAGGGTTTACATTTTTATTCTTATCAAGTATATTAGTTATCAGTTGCTATAGAACAAATGACTCCAAAACTTAGTGGCTTAAAACAACAAAATGTTGTCCCACAATGAGTCAGGAATCCAAGTGTAGCTTTCCTGTGTCCCTTTGGCTCAGGGTCTCTCACACAAGGTTGTCATGAAGGCATTGGACGGGACTGCAGTCATCCCCATGCTCAGCTGGAAGAGGATCTGCCTCCAAGATCACGCAGGTGGCTGTTGGCAGGCCTCAGGTCCTCACTGGCTGTTAGCCGAAGATACCAGTTTCTTGCAGCTTTGACCTCTCCACGGGGCAGCTGTCGACAGAGAAACTCAGCAAGACAGAAGGCAGACTTTCAATCATCTAATCTTAGGAGCGATATCCATCCTTTTTGCCATATTAGATTTGATGGAAGCAACTCATTAGGTCCAGCCCACACTAAAGGGGAGGGGGCTACAGAAGGGTGTGAATTCCAGAAGGTGAGGATGGTTGAGGCCATTTTAAAAGTTGACTGTCTCCCCAAGAGTAGAACAAAGTCATGTGCATCCTTAATGTGCACCTGGATGATGTCCCCTTGTCAATTTTCCCCATAGCAGTGACAGCGGTCCTCACGAAATTTAAGCAAGTAACTAGAAGGTAAGGTGGACAAGGCAGGGACTTTCATCTGTTTTGTGCACTGCTCTGTTTCCAGTGCCTGGGACGTAAAAAGAGTCTCAGTGGATGTCACCAGAATAAGAGAGTGACTGAACAGCATTTGAATGTATGTAAAGATGAAGTCATCTCTAACACAGCAATAATAATATCTTCCACTTGGGGGGCTTATTATATCCTAGGCAATTTACAAACATCATTTGATCCTTACAAAGATCCCATGAGGTGGGTACTATCATTATCCTCATCTTACAGGGGAAGAAAACAAGGCTTGGCAAGACCAGGAACCTACACGAGATGACACAACAAATGGAAGAGCTGAGATTCAAGCCCACAGTTGTCTGACCCTGCAGCCCCCAGCAAGAAAGCAACCAAGACAGTGGCTCTCCATGCAGGCTGTGCACAGGAGCACCGCAGGACACGGGCCTCACCACCGTAGCGTCATAGTCACCGTAAGACTATTTCTAAAACTGCTCCCTAGGAAATCCTAATGTACAGGCTTTGATAGGGATCCTGCCTCACTTCAAGATCTAGTGACAAGTATGAATGCAGTGCCTACCTCTACAGTAGTCTATATAACGTAGCAGAGGATGGCTTTAATCTCAACCTTTAGGCAAAACTGTGACATTTACCTTGGGGCTACCCAGAGGCTCTGCTGAGACTTGAGCAGCCCAGGTTTTTGCCCTTCTCACCCACACTCACCCACACTGTGTCTTGCTTCCTCAGAGTTCTGTGCTGTCCATTAGGAACAGTGAGAGGACAAGGCAGGGCTGTCCCCCACTCAGAGCTCTCAGCCCCATTGCTGCCACTGGCTGCAGGCTAATGGACAAATGAGGCTGCAGCTCCCAATCGGCCTCCCCTCCCTTCTCAGTGCAGCTGACAGCGGCATCACCCATCTGGAGTACCTGACTCCCAGTTTCCTCGCTCCTGCCACACTGAATTCCTTTCAGTCCCTGAACTTGTCATGCTCTCTCACATACTGGCTTAGCTCACGCTTGTGCCTCTACCAAGAACACTGTTTCCCTCTGATCAGCTAGGTAAATCTTACTAATGCTCAGGTCTCAGTGTAAATGTCACTTCCTCCAGGAAGACTTCTCTAAGCAGGCACTTCCCTGCTCCACCAGTACCCAGGACTTCCTGTATGACAGTAGAACACCAGCTTGCTTTCATAATTACCTGCACTTCCACAGAGGTGCCCTGAGATCAGGAACCATGTCTGCTGGGTATCTGTTTGTAGCCTAGCATTACCTCCTCTCCTCAGGAAAGAGTTTACCAAATTTCCTTTTATTTCCATTCAGCCATGTGGTTTGTGTGCGATTGATGCCAATGTCCACCTCCATCTGCAGAGCTTAAGTTAATGGGCATACTCTACCTCCATTCTCCCTGTCACAGTGGCCCAGGGTTCACATGTGACTCAGGCCAGGCCAATCGGGCTGCACCTCAGGGCTCTGCCTGGAAAGATGAGCCCTGGACTCTTTCTCCCCTGCTGCACATGTTGGGATACTGGAAGAAACCTTGGCTTTCTAAGTAACCTGTGTCAGCATCAAAGGCAGAGCCCCCTGGCATGCTGCTAATGTTCTCCTCTCAGGTTAATATTGAAGCAGTGGAACTATCCTTTGGATCTGGCTATTATACCAGTTAACCCCATGCATTAAAGGAAAGTGTATTCAGTAAGTATGTTCAGTAACAACTCAGAGGCTTAACATCCTTATCAATGGAGGTGAGGGTTGGAGTGGTAGAGTCAGGCCTGCAACGAAGCCACCCAGAGCTAAGAAATGAAGAGAAAGGGCTGAGCGTGGTGGCTCACACCTGTAATCCCAGCACTTTGGGAGGCCAAGGCAGGGGGATCACGAGGTAAGGTGCTCAAGACCAGCCTGGCCAAGATGATGAAACCCTGGCTCTTCTAAAAATACAAAAATTAGCTGGGTGTGGTGGTAGGTGCCTGTAATCCCAGCTACTCAGGAGAGAATTGCTTAAACCTGGGAGGCGGAACCAGTGAGCTGAGATCACCTCACTGCACTCCAGCCTGGGTGACTGAGTAAGACTCTGCCTCAAAAAAAAAAGAAAAGAAAGAAAGAAAAAAGAAGAAATGGAGAGACAGAAATGGAGGCCTGGTCTCATTATTTGAGGCATTAGATCAAGCATTACCTGAAACTAGAGCTACCTCTAGATTTGTCAATTACACAGATCAATCAATTACCTTTATATTTAATGAGATTGGGTTTGCTTTTTGTTGTTGTTACTTGCAATCAAGAAAACATCTTAATTTTAAATTCTGCCTTATTCACCATTGAATCCTCAGCCCTCAGCACAGTGCCTTGCACCTAACTGTGAGTGAATATAAGTTTCTTTAGGTAAGAAATCTGGGGACTAGCAACTCCAGCAGGGAGGGCAATGTAAGCACCTGGCTCTTTCTAGGCAGTTGCTGTAATACTGGGTCTACTTCTTTCTCCCTGTTTCTATATAAGACTGCATCAGAGATCCCTCTCTCAGCTCCCTGGGTCCTGAAGACCCAGGAGCTCTTCTGTCTGGCTGCTGAGATGCAGTCCCTAACTCCTGGTCCTAATTACAGAATCTTCCGTAACCAGCTACATTCAAGTCCTCGGCCCGCCACAGCAGCCATGGTAACTCGAGCCTGTTACGGACCACAGGGCCGCTCACACCACAGATTTAGGGCACTGTCTACTTGTTTTTTAAAAAATCTCGGCTGTGATTGGTTCTTCCACTCACACACTGGATACATTCTGTGCCCTCTCTTGTGTCCACAATCTGATGTTATCACTGTTGTTGGAATAACAGAATTTGAGAAAGAAACGTAGAGGTCATTTAGTTCAACTCCACTTCCAGAGCAGGTGCCACCACTACTAGGTCTCTGACTGAGGTCTAGCCTGCTTTGGCTTGAATGCAAGCAGGAACCGGCTGCTCCATCCTTTGCAAGTCGGGCACATTGTCAGACAGCTCAGATTGTTAGAAAGTTCTTCCTGAAATTGAGCTGGAATCTGCTTCCTTGTCATTCCACCTAGTCCTGGATCTGCCATCTGGAGTCCCTGGCATCAGCCTGATCCCTCCCCCACATAGCAGCCATTGGGATATATGAGGACAGCTCACATGTCCCTAACGTCTGTTTGGCTCCAGGCAAAGAATCCCTTGTGCCCTTACCCAGTCCTCATATGACTTGGTTTCTCGATATTGCACCAGCACATCGTCCTCTGAATGTGCTCCATTTGTGATTGTTCACCTCTCTGAAAATACGGTTCCTTGAAAGGATACCAACAGTCTAGATGTAGCCTGTCTGGCACCAAGCACAACAGAACCATCCTGTACCTGGTTCTGGGCTCACCACACCTGTTAATGACGATATGTAAATTTCCAGTGCCATTTTTACAGTCTTATCATACTTTTAGCTCTATGTAATCTTAGAGAAAACAAACCCCCTCCATTGGATTTTCCATATTTGAACATTTGATGTATGGAGCTCTATAGTGATTTCTCTTGAATTTTATCTTACAGGGTTTAGACTGCGCAGAATCACTAAAGTGGTCATATAATTTATCATATAAATTGTGACCATTTTAACACTGAAAGCAGGTGTTATTGTTACTATTAACAATTATTTTGAGACAACATACACAACCAGGGCTTCCCAAACAAACCTACACCCAGGACCACTCTAAGCAAAGTGGTTAGAACCACAGGCTCCAGGTTGAAATCCCGGTGCTATCATTTACCAGTTCCTTACTTAATCTCTTGACATTTCTGTTTTCCCATCTCGGAAAGGGAGGTAACATTTCTACATCGTAGGATCATCATAAGTATTAAACAAGATCATGTTTGGAAAGCATTTAACCCAGAGCCTGGCTTACATTCAATGCTTAGGAAATATCACTTGTTATTTTTAACTTGTTGAAATCTTTTAAAATTTGACCAGCTATCCCTCACGGCATAATGTCATTTTTAAATCTGAGAAGTACATCTTCCACAGCCTTGCCTGAGCTATTGCTTATATGACGTGTGTCAGCATCAAAACAGAGCCCTGCGCCATGCTGCTTGTGTTCCCCTTCCAGGCTGATGTTGAAGCATTGGCCACTATTCTTTGGATATGTTAAACCAGTTAACCCCGTGCATTAAAAGAAAGTATGTTTAGTAAGTAACAGCTCAGAGGCTTGACTGGTATACAGGTTGACGTTTCTCTTGCATGAAAGTATGGAGAGGCCTTACTCTGGCTGGAGTCCATCCTCCCACCATTAGCCAGGGACCCAGGCTGATGGCAGCTCTTCTGTCTTCAGCATGTGGCTTTCTGAGTGGCTCTGCTGGTCACCATTCTCACCAGTAGGAAGCAGGAGAAGAGTGTGGAGGAGCAAGTGGAGAAGATATATGCGCTGGCCTGATGGGGGCATGGATGACTTCTGCTCACAAGCCTGTGGGGAGAACGTAGACACAAAGGCGCGCCACACCATAGGGAAGGTGGGAAAGGCAGGGCAGCTTAGCCACCGAGAGCCAGCTCCACTGCTGTTCCTACAGAAGAAGGAGAGATGAGATTTGGGTGGACAAATAGGAATTTCCATCTCTCCCATCCACCTAATGCATTATCATTCGGGCCTCATTTTCTATCTTGTCCCCGAGGAAGTAAGGTGAGACTCTATGAAATACTTTATGGAATCAAAGGCCTCCACCATTTTGCTCTGCGCTAGCAAAGAAAGAAAATCATTTCCAGGGCCTGATGGGGAGATGGCACATAGGCAGTCCGCACTCTGAGAAATGGTTTTACATTTAGGGCAGTGCAGTTCATTTAATCCTTCCATCAATCTGTGTGGGGAAGAAACAAAAAGAAGGTAGAAACATAGTGGAGTTTAAAAAATGAAATGAAATTCCAAGTATAAGAGCTTTATGGAAAAGTCAAGCAGAAAAGAAATTATACATAAAAATTAAAATAATCTTATAGATTGCTTAATATTTCTCTTTGAACACTCCTGAACTCCTTGAAATAAGATGTAGGGCTTGGATTTCTGACGCAAGTAACACAGGCATTATGGTCAGCTGTTAAACTCCAGGCTGCAGCTCTAAAAGTCAAGTGAAACACTGCAGATAAGCAACCTCATTCATTCTTTCAACAACTATGTAGAGAGAGGCTTCTCAGTGCCATGTAGCATGCGGGCAGGGAATGAAGAAATAAACAAGCTGTGAGCCCTACTCTTGAAGGTCTTTCAGACTCAAAGATTCCTAGTTGCAAATATCAGAGACCATGTCTGGCTACTTTACATAGAAAGCAAATTTACTAAAGAATATTGGTTAGGTCACCAAATCTCTGGGAAGTTATGGATCTAGGAATAATACCTCAAAACGCTTTGCAGAATAGTCTAGAAGAGACAATGCTGGCCCCCCTTTCAGCACAGACACACAGCTTGAACTGGCGCCCCTGCCAGTGTGTGACCTTGGATGCTCTCATGAGGATCTTCTGAGACTGAGGCAGATACGAGCCACCTTAGCCAGAATATACTCCTCCCAGTTCGCGCTGCTTTGCAGTGCTAGCTTCTGATTCAGAGTCCTTCTGAGGCAGCTGTGCCTTAGCTGCTAGGGAGGTGGGGAGGTGAGTACCTGCCTTCTAAGTTAGGATGTGGGGATTTGTAAAACAGAATTCCCCAAACATAGGGAAGATGTGAAAAGGTCCTGGAGAGACACGTCATGGGGCTCCAGCGCTTCTGCCTCTTAGTCCAGCCAAGGCAGGGACAGCCACTCCTCCAGCCTATCTGAACAGTACCCCATCTGGCCAGCTGAGGACATGCTGGACCATCCCGCCCCCTGCGAACTCATCAAGGGAAAGACTAAGTCAGAGGAGTCCCTCTCTGACCTTACAGGTTCCCTCCTCTCCCTGCAGCTGGATCTTGGGCCCTCACTTTTGGATGAGGTGCTGAATGTCATGGACAAAATAAGTAAGAGGATACCAACTTTTTTCCTTTGGGGTAAAAGGTACAAAAAACAAACTAGCCGCAGTTGAAGAGAAGGGCTTCCGGAGCTGTATTTGCAGTTTTGTGATGGGTTTTCTAAAATAATATTCTTACAAAGTATTTTTTTTACCTGTTACGCCCTGTTTGCAGAAACGATTTAGAAAAAACAACAAAACAAAACCTGTTTTGGCAAAAAGAGGAAGTGAGTCAGCCAGAGCCCATTTTCAGCAGGCCTTGGTGACGTTCGGCTCATGTATTGTTTGCAGACACACGAGCAATCTGGCTCGGCCAGGACTGACACCAGCCATGAAGCGCTGGGCGATTCACGTTAAGGAACTTTATAGAACTTTACAGCACTCCGACATTTTCTGAGCAAGAGAAAGTCAAAATTTATTTAACACCTAAGCCTTTTTTCTAGATTCTTTTCTGTATATTGCTTGGGCTCCCCATAGCGAATTCTCCAGGGTTAAAACTTTTTCGTTGTCATGTTTGAACTTTTTGGGTTTGGGGGATTTCCTGCAGTTCTTATGTCTCCCTATATATTATATCTATATTGCAAAATTTTGACTGTCAGCTACATGTTGGTAAGACACAGGCAAAGAATCGCTGTAACTAAGTTATTTTTAAAGTTAATATTTATTTTTACATGCCTTTGGCTTTAAAAAAAGAGAAGAAAAGGTCCCAGGTGGGCAAAAAATTGGTAAGTGTCCATGAAGAGGTGAAAAATCACATGCAAATGCATATATTAATGTGGAATATGGGCTTTATGAACTTCATGAACAGAGGTGTGGAAATACAGAGGACAGAGAAATAAAACCTGACTGAGCAGGTCAGAGAAGACTTCACCAAGGCAGTCTCCACCTGTCCCACCCACCGAATGCGTTCGCATTCAGCCCACGTTTTCTATCTTCTTCTCTGGGTCATAAAGGATGGCTAAGAACTTTCTAGGGAAAGTTTCTGAGGATGGGCCCTGTACACAGAGGAAAAGCGTGTGAGAAGGCATGAGAGTGGGAAAGGCCTGGTAGGTCTGCGGAGAGGCTCCATGTTGTAAAGGCAAAGGCCACACGTCAGCAGAGAGGCGCAGATGGGCTGAGAGTGACAAGTCAACATCAGGTCACAAAAGGCTTTTATGGTCATCGGATGTCATTGAAGGATGGGAGTAATGTGACCTATTTGTTTTTAAGAGACTACCTGGTGCTACGCAGAGGGTGGACTGGATAGGAAAGAAAATGAAGATGGAGACAAAGTCCAGAGGCTGGTCTGAAAGACCAACTGATAATGACACAAACCTGAATTAAGGAAATGGCAGCAGGAAGGAAGGGAAAGCTGGGTCTGAGAAATGGCTCTGTCCACTAGGAAACTCAAACTATGGGTCTGGAAGAGAGTTGGGGATCATTAGCTTTTAGATGGTAGTTGGTACAATGAGAGAGGCCACAGAGAGTGAACAGAAGATGGCTGGGAACCCTTACAGTTAAGCCTTAGGAAGCCCAAGTCAGGTTCCCAATCCCAGCAGCAACCAAAGGCAGGATGTGTCCAGGCCATAAAGCACGACAGTGGGTACTGGGGTAAGAGGGCAGAGATCCTGACTCAGGCTCCCTGGAGCTCACTGCTGTGTTCAAGCACGTAGATAGCATTGTAGTTTTTTGGCTACCTGCTTTGATTTTTTTCCTTCTCACTGCAATGGAGCATGATTCCCTTTTGGGAAATCCCCTCTCACCCATTCTGTGCAGTCTTGGAGGTGTCAATCAGTGTGACCTGTCGGCACCTGGCTAAGAGGTGAGCATAGGGCCCAAGAGCATTCAGATTCTCTTCAAAGACTTCTTCTTCTGAGCTGAGTGAAGCAAGGCTGGAAAGAAGAGTTTGGAGTTGGTGCAACCCAGTAGCACCCCCTGAGGAGCACCCCCTCTAAGGAGACCATCCCCTAATTCCTGCCCCATGGAATCCTGAGCTGCCCTAGCTCAATTTTTCTTTAAGTCTGGTTTCTAGCTTTCCCTTCTGCTCTGTGAACTCTGTGAGACTCTTACACTGAATTTTATTTTTCTGCTTAAGTGAGTCAGAATCTGTGGTTTGCAGTCGAACAACCCCAACTGACTCACAGAGTGTCAGGCATTTAAGCCAACTACGTGAAAGGAGCCTTCCAAACCAACCTCCCAACAGGCGCAAAGCATTTGTGAAAGAGGAATGGAGCTGTCATGCCTACTGGAACAGGGGTCATTCTAGCTGTGCCTTTTTCTTCACTGTCACAAGACCCTGAACGGGTCCCTTCCCTTCTCCAGGCCTCAGCGCTCTCATCTGCAAATCACAGTGCTGGGTTGGATGATACTTGGTGTCCAGTGGTGTGCCGGTGGAATGTTTCTGTTTTGAAAGAGCATTGTGCTGGTTTTTAAGCTACTTGGTCAAAAATTCTGCTTCCTCAAAACATAGAGAATTAATGAACACCTCAAGCTTTTTATTTTTCTCTTTAATGATGCCTGCACTATCTGAATATTCTAGTGTTCTCTCTTTTCTTTGGTGTATAATCATGCACAACCTTTTTATTTCTTTAAGGTGGGAGTATATTTTTATTACCTAAATGCCGTACTATGAAGATCAAAGTCTTAAGTGTGTTTGCGCAGCTCAAAAATAAAATATATTAAGAGGGGAAAACACTGTTCTAAATGCAAGGCATGCTTAAAGCAAGTTTTACGTTTGGTTGTATTTTCTTGTATATTATGAATATTTATTTAACTTGTTGCCATTTGAAGTAAAAAATGTCCAAAATGTGTGCTCAACAATAATCACTAAAATGTTTGCAGCAAAAAAAAAAAAAAAAAAGCAAAAGCCTTGGTTATTAGTGTTTGATAATTTCTGTGGCATAAATATTCCTCCTGTGGCTAGCTTTCAAGCTATTAACCAGCTTTCTAATTTCCTGAAATTTTTACTTTGCAATCAGGCATAGGCCAGTTCTGGTACATCCCCGTTGGTGTCCCTTCTAGGGCTGATTTCTGGTCTATACCTCTCTACACCAGGAAGCTGGAAGACTAAGTCTTTGACTCTTGTTGGAAAGAAAGCATCTAGGGTGGCATTTCTCAAACTCCGTGGCAGGGAACTTGTTAAAATGCAAATGTCCACAGACTACTATTGGGCACTCTGAATTAGCACAGGGGTGGAAGAGTTCCAAGAAATATGCACCATTAACACACTCCCCAGATGATTCTGATGCAGGAAGTGTGAGGGCCAGACTTTGAGAGACACAGGCTTGGAAAGCAGAAGGTAAAACAGGGTGAGAGTGGTGGTGGGAAATGAAGGGAGGCCAGGGGAGAGAGGATTACGGAGGAAACGATGACCCAGAGCAGACACAACTGGGAAGCAAAGGGGAGGGAGGCAGGAGATACTCTCAGCTTGATATCCAGACTCGGAGTGCTCTGCAGAACACCATGTACCAGAGGGCTTTAATAAGAGATGATGATGATGATGATGATGATGGTGATGGTGATGAAGCAGGGCAGTAGGCTTTGTTAACCAGCATTACAGGGCTGGTAGGAAGTAGAGCCATCTGGTGCATATTTGGTACATTACAGAATCCATTTT